ATCTATCTATCTATCTATCTATCTATCTATCTATCTATCTATCTATCTATCATCTATCTAATCTACTTACCTATCTATCACATTTATATAGTTACCCATCTCACAAGAAACTCCGAAGGACAATTAATAAAAGTACAACAACAAAGGGCCCCACCCTGAAGATACTTAGAAAGTCACTAAAGACCTATATCTTCTCCTGGGCTGCTTAGCAGATTGGGCACAGATTTTTCTCTTGTATGATTTGGTCCTGTTTTGTATGATTCCCGCCCCCCTTTTTTTCCCCCTCCAACTCCCAGACTGAAAAAATAAATCTGTTATTTATTTTATTCTCCTGGATTTTTCTTAGGAAAAGTGCCCAGAGTTGGCTGAAGTTGGTCGCTCTTTTAAATCTCTTTCCCTAAATGTAAATAAGCAAATAAGCCAACAAATGAAACTCTTGTCAAACCCGATTAGGTGCAATGTGGTCCTGACAGATTCAAGATTAAGCCTGCTTGGGGTGGGGTAGGGTGGAAAGCAAATCCAATTGAGGACTTTTTTTTTCTTTTTGTACCTTGAGGGGGCAGCTGATATTACATTTACCAGCCTGCTGCTTCCCACCCAGAAGCTCAGGGTAAAACAAAACAGAGCCATCTACTCCGAAAGAAACCAAGGGAAGAATTCAAGAAGACTAGACGCCAAGTTTCCCTTTTTCTTTTCCCCCTCCTCTTCTTTCTTCTTTCCCTTGCAAATCAGATGCACTGGCCTTTAGGAGAAGCAGAGAAAAGAATCAGATGCTGGAGGCTAAAACCTTCTTTGGAAGAAGTTTGGCTGCAGGGCAGGACATCTGTGAAGCTTTTATCAATCCAGTAATTCAATCATGAAGAGAGGTTTAATACTCTTCTCCTGTGCCTTGCCTACAGTTACTTCCTGGTCCTGAAGAAGACAAAGACCATTCAGAAAGGACTCCTGCTACCCACCTGCTTTCTGCCTGCCCCCATCTCCAACTGGGGGAATGGACCAACTCTCTAGCATCTCCTGAAATAGTGGAACAGGCTAAACAGGTGAGTCTTTTGTAAAGACTTCTCTTTGGTGTCTTCAGGGCAGGTAAGTGAGGTTGGGATCAGGTCGCAATCTTGGCTGGGCTTTGCTGGTTGGCTGGTGGTGGTGCCAGCAAAGAAGATTTTCGGGGAGAACAGGCAGAAGAGACCCAGAGGGTGGCAGAAACTCCACAGACAATGGGGTGTTTCTGTGTGGATTTGTACACAGGTGTGAGCAACTGAGGAACAGTTTTCCCCTCCTAGCCAGCAGGACCGGCCCGACCTTTGTATAAAAAAATATATAACCTTAGTCATAATTTCACACGAGGGTTTTGCAAGTTGTTTAGTCTCATAGGTATTTCTGGATTGTGTGTGTGTGTGTGTGTGTTTACCAAAGACACTTTAGCCAGCCTGTGCCCAGCTGAGCCATGGGAAAGGGGAAAAAAATGAAATTCCAGATTGGTTTATTTCAAAACGAGACCTGGGTAGCATCTGAAACCACATTCTGATCACTCCAAACACAAAATAAGAGATATATGTACAACGAAAAGATTTACACCTAGCCTTGGATGGCTAGGATGCTTGAATGTGGATATTAGGAATTGTCTGGTAAGGCAAAAATAATTTTAGTGGGAAAAATGCTTTACATTCTGTTGTGAAACCTGATGATTAAAAAGGAAGACTGAAAAACAACTCTAATGACTACACTGACTTTAAGGAATGCAGGAATACACCTCTTTTTTTAAAAAAATAATCAGTAAAGTTGGTTTCTTTGTTTCACTGTTTCTTGCACCTTGATCCAGGTGAATCTGGAGCCATTTTGGTTCTGTTCTGATATTGTTTTCTGACTTGTATATACCGCAAACATGTAAATGGTAGTGTACAGCTCAGATTGGGAAATGACTGCATTATAGAATTGCAAATTTAGATTCTGTCTAAGGTGAGAAAGGAACAGACCCAACATACTTGGTCGGGCTGGCAGAATTAATTCCAGGTGTCTTAAAGCCACACCTCAACTCTAGAATATGAATCGGATTATATCAAATTGGGCACCCAAGCTTCGCATTGAAAAGGAAACCCCGATTGCTCTTAAGCGGTTTTTTTATCCTGCTCCTGCAGCTCTGGAGAATTTTGACCCAACTCGTGTCGCTTGGACAAAAAAGTCTGTCTGGCTTTGATTCGGATTCCGAAACTTTTTACGCAGTCCCAGAACCCCAAAAGCATGAACCTCGGGGAGCTTCGGTGGTGTTTTGTGTCAAAAGCAGACACTTTCGGGTGGAAGTGGTTTAGCTTGAAAAGGAGGCGAGGCCGAACCTCGGGGTGTAAAAATATAAATGGGAACGGCCCATTCAGGATCCCAGAAGTTAATCTCGGACTTCCGAGAGCCGGCCGAGAGTTTCTCCTCCGGACGAGAAAGAAATCTTTTGGGATCTCTTTGCAAAGCGACATCCCGTGCCCAGTCCCGCGCGCCGAAGTTGGCACTGCCAGCAAGACGTAAGAGACGGCTGTGGGTAGCTACAACCCGCCGCACTTGCCCTCTTCGGACCTGGGGGCGTAGGGAGTCCGCTGCGGAGATTAGAGCAACGGGGGTGGGTTAGACCAGGACGGCGGCGTCGCCACTCCGTCCTCCGCAGCTCCCCAAGTTGGAAGGCTCTTTCTTGGCTAAGAGGAAGAAGGAACAGCTCCCTTCCAGCTCTTGATTTTGTGTGTGTGTGTGTGTGTGGAGAAGTGACCGACCTGGAAAGCCTCCTCCCCGGGGTCGGGTGGTGGTCTCAGGAGGCGGCGGGGATGCGGGTAGGAAGGACGCTTCTCTGGCCCGGACGCGCCTCTGCTTGCCCGGCGCCCTCCTCCCTTTGGCGCGTCTTTGCGCTGCGCTCTTGGTGAGAGAGGCTCTCCGGCGCAGCGGCTCCTGATTTTCGCTCTCCTTGCCCTCTCTTCCTCCGCTTGAGTTGCTCTCTTTACCTCACCCTCTCGCACTCCTCCAGAGCGAAGATGATCAAACCTCTGGTCCAGGCGGAGGAGCCTTCTGCGCTGCCGCCGTCGCCCTCGATCAAGAAAGACGTGGAGCTCTTGCTGGTGAAGGAGCAGAACGGGGTGCAATACACCAGCAGCCACCTCCTGGAGCACGCCGGCCCTGGGTACAGTTCCACCACACCTGAAGGATCCCAGGAGCGCGAGACTTGGGGCAAAAAGATCGACTTTCTGCTCTCCGTGGTCGGCTTCTCGGTGGATCTGGCCAACGTCTGGCGGTTCCCTTACCTCTGCTACAAAAACGGAGGAGGTAAGTCCGAATTCACCCTCCCTGATCTGCAGCCCTCCCCACCCACCCCCAAACCTGTCGGGTGTATCTACCATCGCCACCTCAGTGGGGGGAAGACGGAGGGAAGAATAAGGGAAGGTAGCCATCCAGCTTTCCCTTTGGCGCTTGGGGTTCTTGGTTTCGGAGGACGGGTGTGCAGGGGTGTGTTTGGCACATTTGGGGTCAGAGCCCAGTCTCCTTGCGAGGGACGCACAGGGGGGGCTTTGAACACATTTGTGACTTCTCTCCTCTGGACAGCTGGGCTGAAGATCCAGAGGTGGCATCCTGGTTTGCTTCCAAAGAGCAAAAAAATTCCATAAGGATTTTGTCTTTTTAGTCCCTAAAGGCTCTAAACTCATAACCTATCTCAGCAGGACAAGTTTAAAAGTTCAGCTAGACTTTATTCTTGATTTCCTTCCCAGCTTCTTTTGCAAGCTCAGATCAAAGGCACTCTTGTAGCTTCCTGCCCTGGCCAGCTAGACTTCGCTTGCAATACAGGCAGAGATGGAGATAGACTACTACTGAGCATAGAAGCTCCAATCCTCATCCTTCAGCCTCTTCCCTCCCATGTAGGGATCCCAAGGCGCTTTTTTGTATTGTTTAAATTTGTTTCACTTTTGGTACAGTCCAAATTGTCCTTGGTCTTCTCCTTGGGTGGCGCCAGAAAGCATCAAAAGTTTGTTTCTGATGGTTTGCCCCGAAAATGTTGAACTGGGCCCAAAAGTAGCTTTCACCCAGAAGGGAAGCAGAGGAAGGATGGGGATCTTAACTGCTTCCATATTGTAATCTGGCATCCATTTTGTGAATGTGGTGAGCTTTGTGGACTCTGCTTAAAGGCGCTTCCTTCTACTGTCGTCTGTGGAGAGAACATTGTAGTCCTCTTCTGGGAAAGTAGAAGGTTCTTTGTGGCTACCCTAAGCATAATCCCTCCAGAAAATGGGCTACAACCATGTCCACCCAGATGCAATTCTCAAGTTTTCCAGCCAGCATGGCTAGAATTTGGGACTTTTGGAAACTGCTAGCTTGGGAAAAGTTGGGCTCCAGCAATGAACACACACACACACACACACACACACACACACACACGCAAACCTTGCCCAGTTCTAGGTTATAGAGCAGCCAGTTTTGTTTTCAAGTGCACAACCACTTGGAAAATAAAGACTGTTTTTGTTTTTTTTAAGGCTGGGGATGAGGCTTTGGTTAAGAAGAAACTGGACTATTGCTAGTTACTATCAATTAATCAATCAAATGTTTATTGTCAATGCACAACATGTGTACAATGACATTGAAAATTGAATTTTCTAGTACAGCTGTAAGTAGAAAATTGAGGGATGTAGTTCACCACAACAGCTCTGGAAAATCTCATGTTCTCTTGAGAAAACTGTGAGAAAATTTCAGTCTGAAATCCTGGAGTTTTAGTCCATTTTATTTATTGAGGTAAAAAAAATCACAGACTAAATGGACTGGTGTTTGGTAGCACTGCTTCTGAAGTTCCTTTCTGTGTTCTCATGTAATATACAGTAAATCTCTTGTACACTCATGTTAAGACTATTGCTTCTCCATAGGTTTGACCCCACTAAGGTGTTTACCTGTTGTTAGCTTCTTCTTGAATTGTTCCAGAATGAACACTGGGTAGAAAGAACGTCGTCCCCATAGCTAAATCTGACTTTCCTTCTTAGGCATCTTTTCTGAGTCATTGCCAAATGTTCTGGTCAGGATTTCTAGAGGTGCTACTGTTGATAGAAAAAGGTGATGGGTTGTCTCATTTGGCTTTTCAGCCGGACCCTTTGGGTGTGTCACCATCAAGTGGGGAGGACACTCCCCAATCCAGGTGCTGCAGGAAATCTAGGGTTGGTTTGACTTTGAGATTCTGCCTGGGCTTTGCTGGGGTTGGTCTTGCCATACTACAGGTGGATACCTCCCAAGTTAAAATAAGTTGAAATAAAGGAGCAAATGGAAAGGCACCAAAACAGAAGGAGGTAGAAGTTTGGGGTGGGAGAGAGGGAGGGAGAAAGATTGAGAAAGAGACACACAAAGAGAAACACAGCAAAAGAGAGAGAAAGAGGGCAATAGATAGATAGATAGATAGATAGATAGATAGATAGATAGATAGATAGATGATAGAGCAAAAGATGGAGAGTGAGAAGAGAAACAGAGAGAAAAAACTAGCAAAAGAGAGAGAGAGAGGGAGAGGAGAGGGAGAGAGGGAGAGGGAGAAAGGGAGAGAGAGAGAAGATACCTTATTCCCATGAGGACTTTGTTGCCTGGACTCTTTTTCGTGCCTGTCACTTTCCTCACATAGTTTAAGAAACATCTTTGCTCCACACTTGAAGGTAGAATAGAGCAGAACACACAAAGCTTCCACTATTTTATTGGAAAAAAAGATGGAACGTATTAATGAAAAGTGCCGTGACATGGTTGGAAATTTTAACTGGATGAATGTCTGAGCCCATGTCTTCCAACTCACCCAGAGGGCTTCGTCCACCCTCTTGATGTCAAACCATGTGATCTCACCTCCAAGATAGGTGAGATGAACCCTTATACAGTGTTAAAGGTCTGCTGAAATCATGCCAGCTTGAAGAGAGACATGGACCTTGGAGCCATTTTCTTAAGCTTGTTCCAGAAATGGTCTGGAGATGGATGAGAGCAACAGTCTCACCACGGAAGGGAAAGATGGGGAAGTCTTTGGAAAACCACAAGCAAGGACGGGAACAATCTCTAGAGGACTGGACCTACTATTGACCTGCTCTCATCCACAAGCTACCTGGAGGGACACCATCTGTAGGCTTTGCTGGCCACCTGCCAGTCCATCTTGGTGGAACAGAGAGCTTGAGAACTCTCGTGTTGCCAGAGAAGATCAGGCAGCACAAAATGCTTCTATTTTATAGTGCTCGGATGGCTTAGTTGCCTGGGGATAATTGAACATATGTAATAAAGACCATTGATCTCAAATGAAATGGAACACAGATTTGAGACTTTGGTATTAGCTCTGAAAACTTTGCAAAAGGGAGATGCACGTTGACAGATTAGCTGTGCAAACCTTGACACTAAACCTAAATATGCAGGTTTCGTGTGTATTTGTGCGTCTGTTTGAATTTTGCTTGGTAGCCAGAAAAAGATATTTATGTTCTCAAAAGTTGGATGGCAGCTTTAGAGATGTAGAGATCACCTGGTGATGTGACAACTGGGTTTGTTTCTGATGTTTTGCCCACTGCATAACACCTGGCAAATCTCCTATTATTTAATTGGGGTCTCATGGATGGGTGTGGCTTGCTCTCACTGAACCCAACTCTCATGTAATTGAGGCCTGATACACCCACACCCAGCCTCAGCTGGGTATGTGTGTATGTGTGTATATACGTGTGTTTGTGTCTCTCTGTATGTATTGGACCTCAACAACATGAGGTTCAGCGAAAGCCAACTATTCTTAATGAAGAAGTCATGTTCTGTTTAACGGGATCTACTTCTAGAAATCTAGTTACACCAAAGGACAATCTTAGTATCTCATTAACTCATGAATTATTTCCTTGAACATGTCATGACATTATGCCTTGTCTACCGATGCTGGCCTGAGACGGACGTTACTGTGTGGTTTGATTTTAAATACAACACTGTGCCACCAGTGTCCATATACAGTAGAACTTCTGGTCACAAATGCTTCTGACCACAACCAAATTGGGTTCTGATCAAACAATTCACATTTCTTTTTTCCCCATGGCCGATTTCTTCTTCTGCACCTTTTTTTTTTTTTTGTAAGCACCAAATTTCCAAAATTAGGTTCGGGTCATGACCAAATCGGGTTGCAACCAAAGTTATGGAATGAATTATGGTCTTGACCAGAGGTTCGACTGTACATGTGAAGAAGGGACAGGGAGGAACATCAGCCTCCAATCAAGTTATTTACATTTATTTTATGAAACACCTTTTTTTTCTGATCTGGGTTCCTTCAGGTGTGGTGGAATCACAACTTTTGGAGAATTTTAGAGAACGTCTCGCTCTCTGTGTGCAACATGTATGTAATGGGCTGCTGGAATAACTTTGGAAGTCTATGTGTGTACCCATCTACATAATGTATGTGTATCCATCTACATCATGTATGTGTATCCATCTACATCATGTATGTGTACCCATATACATCATGTATAGCTTCAGACCACCAGGTGGAGCACCAAATCTTTTGCAAAAATAAATATTTATGAACCCAGTGATCGAAAAAGTCCAAGCTACTCAACAACTTGGTTGCTCTGTTAAAAGCAACGTAACATGACAATGTTCTTTCACCACTGTGAGAAAAAGAGGAAACATTGCTTAGAAGCCAAGCATTCACATTTCACCTTTCCAAAGTAAACAATCCATTGATCATGATTAAAAGCAGGCTCTGCATCACTTGTAGGGCACTCACTGCTGGCTTGTTCAGATCTGGCTTAGTTACTGTATAGAGATAACCATTGTGATTTGTTTATGGTTTAGTGATATATATGTAGGTTATTCATATTTCTGTGATTAAAATTTTTTTAGTCCAAAGGTAAGAATCCATAATATTTTTTTAAGAGTTGATTTCTAATATCTACAGACCCCTCACATCCCAGACATAAACTGGTTCAACTCCTTCCCTCAAAATGACGCTATAGAGCACTGCACACCAGAACAATTAGACACAAGAACAGTTTTTCCCTGAACGCCATTACTCTGCTAAACAAATAATTCCCTCAATACTGTCCAACTATTTATAAAGTCTGCACTACTATTACTATTAATCTTCTCATCACTCCTTATCACCCATCCCCTCCCACTTGTGACTGTATGACTGTAATTTTGTCGCTTGTATCCTAACGATTTATATGGACTGTTTCCTAGTATGATTTGATTGCTTATTGTACCCTATGACTACTATTAAGTGTTGTACCTTATTTTTTCTTTTATGTACACTGAGAACATTTGCACCAAGACAAATTCCTTGTGTGTCCAATCACACTTGGCCAATAAAGAATTCTATTCTATTCTATTCTATTCTATTCTATTCTATTCTATTCTATTCTATTCTATTCTATTCTAATTCTATTCTATTCCATATTTTCTATTCTATTCTATTCTATTCTATTCTATTCTATTCTATTCTATT